CACGAGTTTATTTTTCTTGCTCTCTCATTACTTTTCACGAGAAAAACGGTACGGCTATTTTCAAAGCACAAAAAAGTTATTTAGGAACAATTATTTTTGTTGTACTGAATTTCCCTTGATCATTGGTAAGTAATTAATGTATTTATATATTATTTATCCTCATACTGTAATTTGGATGGGTACAATGAACATAGATATATCAATCCTCATTTAGGGATCATGGCTGATACAGACTAAAATTGTAAAAAAACTGTTTTTCTTTTTTTTTTTTCAAGAAATGTCGCGTAAAAGATACCTTTCTTTAATAGAAATAGAAGAAATTGTAAATTCTGATGATTTTTTTGCATCTGACGATGACGACGATAATAGCCCCATAGATATTGTTGAAATTCCATCAGAGTGGGTTGATGAGATTCAGATGATGAGGACATGGATGATAACATAATTGATGATGAAGAACCACTTGATGTTCCTGGGTGTGTCGAAATTCACCGTGTGGCAGGATTTGAAGAAAATGTTTTAGTGAATGCAAATGAATCTTCAGCAAATGAAGTAACAAAAGGTACCGGCTTACCACCTGCTAAAAAGAGAAAACTCAGAGGAAAATCCCTGGTAGAGTGTTTTGAAATACTTTTTGATAATGAAACTGTCACCTATATTGTCCAGCAGTCTGTACTATACGCCAGACAGAAAAACAATCATCAATTTCAGCTTTCTAATAATTGCCTAAAAACATTTACTGGAATACTTCTTTTCACTGGCTATCATTCACTTCCACAAGAACAATTAATTATATTGGCGTGAAGATGAAGACATGAACATTCCATAGGTTAGAGCATGCATGAGTCGGAATAGGTATCTGGAAATTAAATGGTACCTACATATCAGTGACAACTGCGATTTAGAAAGGATTCCACTAAATGAACGTTATAACCTCGTCAAGATTTGCCCATTGATTGACAAGCTAAATGACAAATTTCAACAATTTGGGGTGTTTTCTGAAAGTTTGAGCATTGACGAACAAATGGTTCGTTACTATGGACATCACTACCTCAAACAATTTATACCTGGTACGCCAGTGCGGTTTGGGTTTAAACAATGGGCTATCTGTTGTTCACAGACTGGATATTGTTATCAGATTCAAGTGTATGAAGGCAAATCAAAGAAATTAGGAGATGATGAAAGCATCAGTTGGCTTGGGACATCTGTTGTCCTTCAGATGGTATCTATTCTTCAGACACCAAATGCTCATCAAATTTACTTCGACAATTTTTTCACAGGAATTTCTCTGATGAAACATTTGCAGGACATTGATGTTAGAGCAACAGGAACTGTTCGATTCAACAGAATGAACAAATGCCCTATTGCAAGAGACAAAGAGATAAGGAAAAACGAACATGGGGCATATGATATGACTACAGATTTGGTTCCCGTAATGAAATTTTAGCTGTCAAGTGGAATGACAACAGTTGTGTAAGGCTTCTGTCTAATCATGAAACTATCGAGATCATGAAAATATCAGAGGTGAAGCGATGGAGCAGAACAGAGAAGAAAGATATTCAAGTACAACAATCCAAACAGATATCAGAATATAACAAATGCATGGGTGGAGTAGACAAAATGGATTGGAATGTTCAAAAATACAGAATCAGAATAAGGGGGGGAAATGGTATTTTCCTTTGCTTACTAATGCGGTTGACATAATACTGATTATCCACCACGCACTGTATTGTATTTCAAATGATAAAATTCCATTGCTAGATTTTAGGAGGAAGCTTGCTAGAGGAAATCTTGCTTTATCTTCAGAACTCTCAGACGCAAAAAAGGGTGGAAGGAATTCTTTCACCAAAGCATCAATTAATCGTGTTCCTACTGTTATCAGAACATCTGGTAATCATTATATTGAACGGACCAAAAATGGTAAAAGAAAATGTGCAGGGTGCAAAACAAATGCAAGAAAACAATGTGAAAAATATAATGTTGGATTACACATAGACCGTTTTGAACACTGGTATTAAAAGTAGATAGTATCAGCCATGATCCCCGTTCGGGATCGGACTTAAATTTAAAATTTCTGAAATAAAATTGACGCATTTATGTGAAAAACATGTTTTTCTTATTATTTAGATGTAAACTAACAGAAATAAAATAAAAATTGATGAAATAAAAATTTGGCAGTTAATGGGTTAACTGGTTCAAATAAATATGCTGGTGCAAACAATCCCAATACAAATATGCAGGTACTTAGTTCCAGTTAGACACCATAAATTTGCATATAAATATATGTGTACACTTATACACTTTGAAAGTACATAAACTAGCCCAAAATATATTAATGGGGCATCGCTAATGCAAATATACTGATACCGACTTCTGTAACAGAATTAGATAATAACACTAATGTATAAAATCACTACTGAAATACATTAACTATTTCAAATAAATATAGTCCAAATGTTGATGTGGGCACAGCTCATTCAGATATAGAGATAGGAGAATTTATTATCACTAAATATCAGTCTTCCTGTACAACAGTAAAGTGAACAACAGTAAAGGCAATTTCATAAAGTGCATCTGTAACACATTCCCATCATCTAAAACAATGGCCAAAATCTAGACACAATACTTTGTGTAATTCTAAATTCCACTGGAACTTTGGTGATTTTGAGATCTAAGTTTTCTATCATTCTTCCATGTATAAAATCATTACGATAGTCTCTTTGGGACATAACGAATATTTTAAGTTTCCAGATTTATTCTTTCACTTGCAAAACTTTCTACACACATTAGTGTTAATTTCCATTTTACCCGCTCTTTAAACATCCTGTGCATAAATAAAAAATGTGCATATTCATTAGCTATCAAATGCATTTACTTCAGAATTATCAGATTCCACAATAATAACTGAATAATGATGTTCCTTACATTTTGGATATGTATACATACATTTATTTGTAAAGAATGTGGAACACGACATATTAAATATCAATGAAAGATGCATTGTTCATGGAGGTAGGTTGTTTGTCAGGGAATGTATCCTGATAAATGGAAAAACCATTTATAATTAAGGATTTTTATACAGGATCTCGCATCTAATAAGTACACATTTTTAGGTTCACAGAAATAATCCCAGAGCTTCTCCTAATGGTCATGCCCAACCTCTCAAGCCAATCTGGTGGATGAAATACTGAAAATATTTAAATGGATTACCACACATAACTCAATCTCCCTGAACGTACCTGGATGTAAACAAACAATATGGCAATACATGAGTTCCAGAAGTTCAAATCTACAATTCTAAAAGTATGATTTGCTAACAGCTTCTACGAATTGCCAAATTTTGTAAGAACTTCTAAGCAATTTCAAAATAATGACCTGTTTCCAATGATTTTTTCAAGAAATGCATCAGGGGAAAATTTTACCGAATTATTGCATTTACTCATATACTCTACTCCCCCAATATTACCTCTTGAAAGCCAAAACGGAATAGCTATACAGTCAACAGTCGTTAATCCGGACCCTTCGGCGATTCCGGATTATCGATTTTTCTGGATTATAGATCATCAGTTTAAATCTGGTAAGATGGCATGCGGAAATAACAAAATTAAAAATATGAAACCGTAATTTATGAAATAAAGAAAAATTATGATCTAAAGGGTATCAAAATTTACAAAAAGAAAAAGCTTAATATTTGTTTACTTTATTAAACATTTCTTTCAATGTAAGTTGTTTAAGTTGCTTCGTTTGATGTGATAATACTTTCTCTTTAATTCTATTAACAGACATAATTTCTTGTTTAGTTACAAAGTTCCGCTGTTTAAGTTATATAATTGCTGTATCGAGAATACCGACTAATTTGTCAATTGAAATTTTTTCGTTTTCAATAACTACTGTGTCACTTTCTTCACTATCGGAAGCAAATTATAATGACGAGGAACTTGATTTAAATCATAGACGGAGTACATCGAGATGAAATACTACATTTAGTAAGGAATTATGAGTCAAATAAAATAAAAACATCTGCCCTGAAGATAAGGATAGTGCTGACAGATCAACTTCCAATTCATTACGCACCACAGCGTTCCCCCCGCCGAGCAGCGTGAAATTGATAAACAGATTTTGGATTTCGAAACATACTTTCGCTTTAGATCCTTTAAATATTAACAAATATATATCGGAAATTCTATTTGATATAATCGAAAGTTTAAGCTTACTTTTATAAAATTGCTCTAACAGTCTGCAAAAATTAATAAGCCGGATCCAATTCGAAGATTAAGGAACAACGCAATCTGCAACATTAACTGGATTAGATAATTTTAGCTTAGCTTACACCGTCCGTTATACATTAAACGCGCATGCGTAAACGTTTTATGAGCATGCGCACAAGCATATTCGCACCCATAAAGGTCTTACGCGCGCACGTAAACACCTATGCGCAGAAAGTTTGTAGCTTTGAGGTCCAGATTATGGGTGTCCGAATTAATGACTTTTGACTGTACAACTTAAACCCTTTCTGGTAGGAGTTCAAAGAAATCTGCAGATTAAAAATGCATATGAATGGATGAACTTGTGCTACCCTATTCTTAGTTTTAAAGAAGTCAGTTACAGTTATAGCTTCTGATACTGCTCTTTTATTTGCACATTATACTATGTTGTTCATCCATACTTCGCATGCAGCTACCATAAAGTGAGCTTCTAAATCATCTGCTGAAAACACTAGGGAGAAAACATTCAAGAGAAAGAAACATGTGAATAAATATGAAATTATATTATTAATGCAAATCATGAACTTATTACATAAAAGTAATGAATATAAATACAATAATTACTAAACCTATGACTATGTGGATATGACTTTCTTAACTATCATACACACTACCTTATTAAAAGAAACTAATGTAGATAAACCATTATCTCCCCCCCCCCCGAAAAAAAAGCCATATTTCATAATAAAAAATGTTGTAAGACTTGAAAAGGCATATCATAAAAATATTACTCACAAGAAACCACTGTTCAGAATATAGTGGATCCCGAAAACCTGGAAATTCATTTTTCAAAGTATTTCGTTTGACTCTTCGTTTTACTTTTTGTTGCTCAAACCATAAAATCTAAAAAAAAAAAAAAAAAAACAGTAGGGAATAAATTCAGAACAAATTTCAACACAATTCCAGGTGAACAGTTTCATTTATTAGAATAAATACTCATACAAAGTACTAGTGTAATGTTTCAGTCAAATCTGAAACATATAACCCTCTGAAATGGCTTTTTGAACCTACTGATGCTGGATTTAAACAACATATATTAGTACAATATGTATATTTACTTATTTTGCTATTTATTTCTATAACCTTCCATTCAAAAGATGATATTTAGATCATTAAGGAAACTAAAAAACAGAACATATTAAACAAATTAATACATACTAAATAACAGAAAATCTCATCACTAGATAAAAGCAGCCATGGCACTCAAAGGATTAATTCATATCAAATCCGGAATATTTTCATTACCTCATAGTTAATTTATTAAATAATAAGAGTATGCAATTTTTAAATTGTAATATAGCAATAGATCCATACTAAAAAGCAGGACTGCTGATGAGACATCTTCCTTACTTACAGAAATAAAATGCAGCCAGCCATTAAAGAAAAATGAAAAATAAAATACAGGTAAACATTTATATATTACTGTGCGTGAAATTTAAGCATACTAATATACTCCCACAAACATGTTTTAAAAAGAATTGAATTGCAGGATTTTTCTGAGACCTATGATGATAAAATTATAGTTTTTTCAACTGACAAAGAAAATTTAGAAGCATAAACATAAATTCATCCCGATTTTTAAAACATATAAAATCAAGACATATTCAGAAAATAAATGTTTCGGATACTAAAGCTTTGCCTTAAAGAATTATAACAGAGGCTATATTAACAGGCAGAATTTTAGAAATACAGTGGATTCACGCAATGTGCACTTTTTTAGGATGCCAATTCACATACTGTGAAGAAAAACTCTGACGTAATTAACATAACAGTGTTTGCTGTAATTAACATTCCTGTTATAAGGTATAAAGGCAGAGATATTACAATTGTGCTGTGGTTAACATTCCTGTTATAAGGTATAAAGGCACAGATATTACAATTGTGCTGTGGTATTACACTTTCACATAACTGGCATTAAATCACATTATTTGGCAAAAGTTTTTGTTTGTCAAAAATGGTCAACGAGGGAAGAATGCTAAATATCAAGTTTTTTACTAAAGACTTTTGCCCAAAATGCATTTAATAGAACTAAGAAGGTTTGTTTCACTAGTGACCACCCGCATTAAACATGTTGGTGAGCATAGTGATTACAATAGGCAAAGTATCTATTGCGAACTTTTGGAATCTCTTAAATGTTCACGTGTATCAAAGACCTTCTAACAGGAGTTAGAAATTCTTTGATACTAACTCCCCACTTTTCTTTCTATGAAGTGCATCCTATTTCAAGGACAAATTCTTGGAACAATATAATGAATAAAACAACAGGGGGAGACTTACAAGTCTTCTGAAACAGAGCCATGTAATTTTATTCACATTTTAGAAGTTTTCAGGGATGTTTCAAAAGTCCTCTTTGTGCTTTTTGATGACTTTGCTTACAAGTCTCACGTCTTTTGAATGGATGTTAAAAAAAATTGAAATGATAATATTTTCCAGTCACTTGAGCATTCTGATTAGTTGATGCCAGATACTCAGGCTTTTACTACATTTAAGAATTACTTCCAAATCATATTTAAAGCTATAGCACAGATATGTGTGTACCTACATAGATAATTAAACAATTTTCTTTCAAATTTGACATTAAAGCTATGAGGCCTCTTAAAAAATATGTCATGTACACATATTACTTACCACCAGCTGAGTTGCTGTACCACCTGTTATATGACTATCAGCATTTGTACTCAATTGGTGGAGCAATATATTGCCACTAGGCTTAGCCAAAATTCTCTATAGAATATTAAAATATGTAGTGGAATTTATAAAATTACTACAGAAGATAGGTATTTGTGACCTGTGGTTATTAAAGAAACCCTGTCAAGACTTTGATTGCACTGAATGAGGATATTAGCAATGTTTTATGCATTGTGATTCTGAGTTTACAGAAAATGTTTACTCTAGAAGTCAGTGGTATAAGTTGTTCTGATGCATTATACTGAACAATATCAACTGGATATATTAATATACATTATATGTCCCGTTCACATATTTGCAAAGTTTGTATTTTGAGGTTTTTACACACGCCAACTCTGTTATGAATAACCAAAATATGGGATCCTATACTTAATGGACCTATGGCAGTGTTATGTAGTATGATGGCTCAAAAACACTTGCCCAGATTTCAAACTTCTGTCAAAAAACAAGGACATTTTCTATAAATTAATTCCTAATATTCATCACTGTGTCTAAACTAAATTCTGTGTGAAGTTCCAGTGGCTCTGTAAATCCTGAATCAGTCTTAGTGCTTTGTACAAACTTTTCACTTGCTGTTTCTTTGAATGTCATTGTTAATAAAGCTCTCAACGCAAATCATTTGGTGGTATTTCATAGTCGTATTGCAGTACAATATGCTTTTCTAACAATTAGTAATTTAACTTAATTACATGAATTGAAGTTACACAAAGTGCATAATAATTTCAAAACACAATCTAGAAAAAAATGCATACACTTTGCAAAAAACAAAATACTGCAAGGTATGCTAATGCTACATTTATTTACTGAATTATGTGTTACGCTAACCTCTAAAAATACAGAGGATGCTAAAAGTGGTAGCTTTTAGCAGCCAGAAACTTGTTAAAAATGTCAATTGTTATTCTAGCTGTTGGTATATAGTGGTGGGCATCATTAATCACAAATATTCTATTCTAAGTGTGCTGCAATAAAGCAACTCTGTCATTCATACTTCACTTCTTCATGACAATAAAGGGACAATATAAAACAAACTCTTGCATAATGACCACATAAACCTCTCTATTAAAAATCCTATGTAGTATGAAACATCTAACTTCATCAATCATATGTATTATGAAACTTCTACATTAAACATGTGTTAATGTATTAAATATATATGTTCTATTTATCATTTCATGTGTAATCTCTTTTGGATTACGTAAAGGAAGCATATGATGATGATGGACAGTTCAACTGAGATCACAAGGTAAGAAAACTCTTTCTTTTACTTACTTCATTAATTTGTTGCATAAATATTTACTTCATTAATTTGTTGCATAAACAAAAGATTATAAGACTGACGGAAAATCATGCTCTTTAAAAAGTAAAAACTGTTAAAGCTAGACTGTAGCTCCATATATAAACCAAAATTAAATTTACTATGATATAACCTTGCCTCGATAGTGGTGATGTTGCCTCAATGGTCTTATATTTAACACAATGCAAATTTCATAAGTATCCCATAAACATCTAAAAGATGAGGGGCTTTCCTTATGCACAGCTTCCTTTCTACTCCACTCTTTTTACCTCATGTTGTATTGCATGAATCCATTAAAATATTTATCAAATTTTTTTCAAGGAATGCTATGTTTCTCAAATTCTAACACAGCTTCAGAATAAACAATCTTGTCATTAAACAATTTTAGTTTACAAGACTATGAATGTCTGAAAACATTTTTTTCTAGGTGTTCCAAAAAAATATTTTACTCAAGTTATCAAAACACTTTCATTAGCTCTATTCATGCTGTCACCAATATTTTTAAAGAGGAAAAATAACACTTTCAAAGTTTTCCATTGATAATTTCGACAAGTCAACTTCAGCCTATGAACTAACTCTGAATTTTACTTCATAGGCTGCAGTTATTCTCATTTATAATGAACTTAATGAATTCGTGTCATAAGCTAGCTTTTGAGTTAGTTGAATAATGTAAGGAGCCAAAGAAAATGGAAGATAATGCGTTGCAGTAACAGACAGTATAAGCGATTCTGACATTGTTTTTCTAATAGCAACACGATTTCACTCATTTGTTGTAATTCCTGGATATAACACTGGTAGAATTTGCAAACTGTCATGCTTTCTGATAAACTTCTTCCACAGCATGTTTCAGCAAGGATTTTAATCTTTCACAGCTGCAGCGAATGGAAATATTTCAATGTACACACAAACAAATTCCGCAACTGTTTTATTGCACCAGACACTCATTCTTTCACCCCCAATAGTCTTCTTTTCACAAGCACTCCCATCGGAATTTATTTTTGATTCCAGCATTCCCTTGACTGATATAAGATTCCAATAAAAATTTTATTAGTGAAATTAAAGAACACATAAAACATTTCACAATAAACACAGAAAGATTTCCACTTTATGAAACCTTTTTCAGAAATAGGAAAATTAAGAAGTTCATCGGTTGGAATATGTGGCCATAAAAATAAACTAATGATTTACATCACACTACAGAAATTTGAAAACAAAGCATATTCTAAGTACGTCTTTCACTGGATGCAATTAACTCAACCAGATACACCTATATTAGATGGTACTGATCTTTTGAGAGCTTCGGATAGGATGCTTTAGTCATGTGTCCAGACGACGCTTCCTTCTTCGAATGAATATTACACAGTGTTTATGGGCCTCAGGAAAAAAGCATACTCTCAGTAGATCAGTGCCTACTGTACTGACGTACAGTCGTGAAGATACCGAGATTGTATCTTGGTAGCTTCAAGCATCATGGTCACTTCTTTACTCTTCTTCTTCCTTTTCCCCATAAAAATCTTTGGCACAGAACAAATCCCATCCAGCAATATTCTCAATGTGAAAAATCATCAATTGCTCAAATTTTATTTTCACTGATATTCTAAAACAAAATTTGAGAAAGATCAGTTTAAACTCTGCAAATCCAAAAATTCAGAATTTGGCAAAGTAAAAAATCTGGAATTTTGGCTATATCCAGACCAAAATGAGCCCTGGTTAAAGCTCCTAATCACTACAGATATCATGCAAAATATCAAGTCTATCCCAAACCTAAAACCTGGGATAAAATTCAAACTTTGGAAAAGAATGGCTGAAAGCTGCTCAAAAAGAAATTAATTCATTAAAAGGAAATAACACCTAGAAATCA